TACCCCAACCATGTTCCATTTGAACATACACAACCAAAGTGAAAGCAATGATTGCGCCAAAAGTGACGGATAGATAGAAGAAGTTGAAGAAACGGTCTAAATGTGTCTTATAGTTTTTGCTCTTCTCATCAAACTGGTCTGCACCAAATGATGAAACACATGGCCTTATACCAGCTGCTCCGAATCCGGTTATGTAGAGAACCGTGTAGAGGTAAAGCATTTGCCAAGATTTGGCTTGTTGGCAACTTCCTAAGAGCAATGATAACTGGCCACAGTTGCTCTGGTCTGGTACAAACATCTTCAAACTTGCACCCACTGTTATTCCTATCAACCCCTTCTCACATGAAAAAAAAAACACATAATTACATTTCAAATATCCATAACAAAACATATGTTTGCATTTATATGTTGTTCATACTGGATAAACCGGTTCAAACAAAAACCGATCCGAAATCCAGATTGAATATTTTCTAGTACTTACCACTAGATACATGGTAGTGAAGATGGCAATAGTCCAGTATCGACCCAAGTATGCATCAGCTATGAACCCTCCAAGAACAGAGGAGGCTTGAGAGATACCGAGGAAGTTGTTAACTGCGTTTGAGGAACTCTCAAAAGGCCTATGCATTACATAGAACATGAAAGCCACCATGTTCACCGATAGTCCGAAATACGCCATTCTCTCTGCCATTTCATTGCCTAATAATATTGCATTACCAAACCATAAGTGAGCTAGTAAGTAGAAACTAATGATATCATCTAAATTCCAATTTCATGTAAGAAACAAAACAAACAAAGAAGTTACCAAAAATGAAGAAAGCTGCGATCCAACCACCGGTTTTGGAAAGATTAGCGATCGGTTTGCCACGGATGTTAACCGGAGTGGTTCCTCCGGTATAGCCACGACCAAGAGCAAGACGTCTATTATCTGACTCAATAAAGAACACACTCAACTGCTTCCTATGCACTGAGGGACTCGAACAACCTCCCGGTGTATCGGGAACACTCACCGGTGATTTAATCTCCGAAACACCCATAAGAATCGATATCTTTTTATGATAAAACCATGAAAATTGAAAATCTCTACAGTGAGTGACAAAAGAAAGCTAGAGAGCTTTTAACACCATTAATAGAGAGGGAACATCATAAGGTGATTAATTGAGATATCAACCAAACGAAATGTGTAACAAGAAAATGATGTTAGAGGATTGGTTAGAGAAATGTATAAATGCAGTAGCTTAAATTGGGAAGATGGAATTAAATAGAAGGAGCTAACTGGTAAGTGGTAGCAGAAGAGTAGGCATTAATTGCACGTGGACTCCCATGTTGTCCACAGTTTAAACGTTCAAGAGAGAAAAAAAAAGAGTTATGTTTCTTGATATGTACTGATGTAAAATTTAGAATCATTTTGCTCTGTTTGGAACTTGGAAGACATAAATTTCATTGAAAGGCTTTTCTACAATGAGTCACTTTACTGCAAC